AGCAGGAATTTCAAAGAAACTCTTACACTGAGGTGTGGAAGGGCAAGAAGGTGGACAGATGCATTGAGTCTACCTGCAATACTTTTATCAGACAGACAGTCCTGAGTCTGCAGCAACTTAGGTCTACAGTCACACACTCTAGAGCTGGCCCACTAGGTGAGATTCACATAATCTAACATTAGATATTTATGATATAGAGGTCTACAGCTGAGTTAGTCATCCAAGACTCTCTTTACAATTGATGGAGACAAATAAGCATTATTTCATTCAGGACCCAGTTTCACAGAATCATAGAATAATGCAGGTGGATGGGGACCTCAGGAGGTCTCCAGTCCAATCTCCTGCTCAAAGCAGGTTCAATACAAGTGCAGACCACATTGCTCAGGGCTTTATCTAGTTGCACCTTGAAAATCTCCAAGGATGGAGACTGCATAACTTTCTGGGCAGCCTCTTCCAGAGCGTGACTGTTTTCATGATGAAAAAGTTTTCTTTATATCCAACCAGGACCTCTTGTTTCAATTTATGCACATTTCTTCTCATCCTCCTACCATATAACTCAGTCAGGAGCCTAGACCCATCTTCTTGACAGTCTCCACAGAGGCACTGTCAGGCCCTGTTAGGTCCCCCAAAGCCGTCCCTTCTCCAGGCTGAAACAACCCAGTTCCTTCAGTCTTTCCTCACAGGACAAGTGCTCCAGGCACTGACTATCTTGTTGGTCCTCTGCTAAACTAGCTCCAGGTTGTCAACATCTTCCTTGCTCCCTTTGGGGGAGGGCCCAAAACTGCACACAGTATGTGGTCTAGATGCCATCTAATGAGCACCAAGTAGAGGAGGATAGTCACTGTGTTTTATCTACTGGCTATGTTCTTGTCATTACAGCCTGATACGCTGTTGCCTTCTCTACTGCCAGGGCATACTGCTGGTTCATCTTCAGCTTGCTGCCTACTAACATCCCTCAGGACCTTTTCAACAGAGCTGCTACCCAGCCAGGCAGTCCCCAGCCTGGATTAGTGAAAAGGCCTCTCCTTTCCTAGAGGCAGGACATCTGTACTCGTGGAATTTCAAAAAGCTCCTGCTGGCACGTTCTTCCAGTCTGCCCAGCTCCCTCTGGACAGCAGCCCAGTTCTGAAGTGCATCAACTGCACCCCTGAGTATGGGATCATCTGCAAATTTGACAAAAGCAAGCCCTGTTGCCTCCTCTGCATCACTGATAAAGCTGTTAAACACAATAGGTCCCAGGATAGATCTCTGTGGTACGCCACTTGTTACTCCAGGTAAAGTGTGACCCATTAACCATGACCCTCTGATCCTAGACATGCAACCAGTTTTTTACCTGTCCAGCTGTCCTCCCATCTAGGATGCAGGGTCCTAACTTGGATACAAAAACATTGTGGGAGCCACTGTCAAACTTCCTTGATGAATTCACCCAAAATGACATCTACTGCTTTCCCTTCATGCACAAATCCAGTCATTTTATCACAGAAGACAATCAGTTTCATCCAGCATGATTTACTCTTGTTAAATCTATGTTGACTGTTCCAAATCACTTTCTCCTCCTTCATGTGTCCAGAAATGTGTTCCAGGAGGACTCATTCAATGATTTACCTGGGAATGAAGTGAGGCTGACCATCCTGCAGGGTCCCTGGATTGTTCTTTTGGCCTTTTCTTAAAGATGGGTGCAACTTTTGCCTTTCTCAAGTGTTCAAAAACTCCCCTGACCTCCCTGACCTTTCAAAGATGCCTACGAGTGGCCTTGTTATGACACCAGCCAGCTCTCCCAGCACCCTTGGATGAAGACCATTTGATCTCTGGAACTCAAGCAATCCCTGTCGTGATCTTCATCCACTGCTGCTAGTCCTGCACCTCCTTGAACCTTGCCTCTAAGCTCAGAGGCCTTGAAGACTAATGCAAAGGAGGCACTGAGTATCCAGTCTTATCTAGGTCTACTGTCACTAAATCACCCACTCCAATCTATCTGATCTCTTTTAGATATCTGATATAGGTTGATGTAGATCACAACACAAATCCTACTGACTATATTGGTCTAGGCCTAGATCTCCACTGATTATAATGGCACTTTTGGGTGACAACTCATACACAGATACCTGCAGGGTCTGCCCTGCCTACATTTTTCAGCTGAATCTTATCTAACCTGTCTACAAAGATCAGACATCTAAAGCTTTAGATGGTGAGTTGGTCCTTCCAGTTTCCACTGCTTCTCATGCAAGGTATTTCCTGATTATGATGCAGTTGTATTCTCTTTTGGTAATCTCTTGTTTAACAAGATTTAGCTCCTGGAACTTAGCCTACATTAAAAAGGCCTTTAGTAACTCCAAATGTTAGTTCATTTCCAACAGGGCAGTAAGGAATGCCAATAAAAGAAAACATTTTGGCTTTGCTGTTTGTGGCATCATTTCCCAATCTCTACTCTTGAACTGATATAACTTCACTCTTTCTTAAAGAAAAGGCTCTGAACACAAAGGTTACAAGCACTGTCCTTCCTCTGAAGATGTTCCATTACCACTGCATTTTTTATTAAGGTATCCTACTGTGCACAAAAAGCTATTTTCACTGGGTTGTATAAATATTTGATGTAGCTCGGTTGACAAAAGGCTATTTTGATGTTCTTGCTTCTGATTTACAAGAAGTATATGGGAGAACATTTCTTACTTTACCATGACAGCTTTCCTAGCGGGCAACAATTTTCCCCTTGTTGTCTTTGAACTACAAATCCCCCTTATCTAGGAAACTAACCTTTAGGCTGCTGTTGCTCTCAATGAGGAAAACTCGCTATCCGTGGCTTTATGTGGCACGTGACCTGAATGTTTGCCTTTGCTTTGTATGTATATTCCTCCCTCCTCCTGATTTTTTTCACCTTCAGTACACACAGAGAAAAATAATTCCATATGGATGATAAAAATCCCAGCCACTTCAATGGATAAGGTGACTATAATTGGCCAATTGCATCACTGGTTCATCTCTGTCAGAGGCAGTGCGAACATAACACAGACAATCAATCTGACTCTCTAAAAACCTGCCTGTTTTCCTCTTTCAAGCAACTCACATTTTGCTTCATCTGCTTTGTCTTTAAGTACTGCCAGTGTTTTCTGGTTGGTTGACTGGCTTTTTTTAAGCTTGAAAGGCAGGAAATTCACAGACAGAAAGGTAAAACAAATACAAGAATGCCAGGCATTTAAAGACCTGCAGTTCAAAACAACTAAAAATGAGCAGGCTTGTGATTACTCTGTTAAGGCATCAAAATATAACCTTAGATTTGACTCTTCCTCCCTTCTCACTCTCATCTTCTCACACTGCTGATTGGAGACTTGCTGTTAGAGGAAAGAGAGACCCCAACTGTTACATCCTTTCCATTTGCAGTGGTATTAATTTGTAGCTTGCTGCTACAGTCTCCACTTCTCAGTAGAAGAGAGCAAGGGTGAAGTCCTATGATCACTTTAGATCACTAGGCAGGATCAGTTTACACCTGGGACTACAGGCAGAATCAGCAATGACATGAGTTGGATGAAAAACACCCACAAGTTACTGAACTCAAAATTTAAATAACTGTTATTTTTCAACATAAGAACATTCAAGGACCGAGCAAGCTGCTGTTTCTAATTTTCTAGCAAAATCTGAATACATTTAATATATGGTGTAACTCTGCGTGGTTTACATATTGTAATTTGCAACTGTGTTATATTTTGGTTTATAATTATCTGGTCAATAAGCAAGAAGAAACAATTGTTATCAGTGAACTTTAAAACTCTTTTTAAGACTAATTATTAAACTGTTGGCAGAAGGAAGAAACAGATTTATGACTACTGACAAATCTGGAAATCTTCACTTCATTGGACATTCCAAGGACAAGGGAGGAAAGAAGATATTAACCCTGCTTTTAAGTCTAATAAGCAAAATAATGTATTTGTACTTTAAGCCAAAGAGAAAACCAGCCCCCAGAACAAAGAAATATGATACAACCAATTAAAGAAAGTATGCTAATATTACCTTAATTTGGAAGAGGATTAATCAGTGAATAAAGAGACTATGAAGAGATGGATAGGCTGCCACAAAAGACTAGAAAAAAGTAAGGAGCTGAGAAGGCCTCAGCCCCTGGTTTCTTCTGTCCTCCCTACCCTGGCTTGTTTCATACTAGTTGGTGTATGAGTGAAAAAGCTGTTCTGTTTCCCTGCAGCACAGGAAAATCTTAGGATTTAAATCATAAACATTTAACTGCAACTGATAGCGTCTTACAGATGTTCTTAGCAAATATTCTTCTAATAGCATGGGCACGTTCATGGCGTTTTAACATAACTGTTCTAATTAATACACTTTTAGAAATCTTAACTGAGCTTTTTGACATCTAAACCTGTTCTTCCTGTAACTGTAAAATGCTAATAAAAATTAACTGTTCATCTTCAATCTCTAATCTAACTTAATCCTGAATCCATCCACTTTTATACAATTCGTTGTCATGTGTGTGTAGAAACTACTGTCATCACTCAAGTCTACTTCATCTATGTCTGCAGGCAGTTATCCAGCACTCCTCACTCTGGTATCCAAGTACATGAACTTCCCCCAGGCCTCTGTTATGTAAATGAACTTTAGAAGTTTAAATAACAGAAAAACGCTGTGTTTAAAGCATTTTAGAGTGCACTGATAAGCAGCTTTTATTAAAGAAACCACTAAGCCTGATAGAGCCAATTAGATTTGCCTCTATGAGTTGCAATTTATACACATAAAGTAAATGACCATTTGTTTTTAAGCAAGTTAACTAGCAATTACAAGGCTTTCCAGGAAGCTGTGTGAAAGCATTCCATCAGCTGAACTTTAGACCTTCCTTTTTTGCTACTTGCTTGAAAAATGAAAAATCAGGATTGCCTGTTAATTTCCTGATTGACTTTTACCAGAACTGACTCATATTACTGTGTTTTATCACAGGTCCTGGAATTCTGACCAGCAGCAAAATGGGAAGAAGATGCTCTGGAAGTGGTTCCCCTATAATTTTGAGGCACAAACCCACTAATCTTAGTAGCAGTGCCCAATCTATGGGGTTACCACATTCCTTTTGAAGAATGCAAAACAAACCAAAATTAGGTGAAAGATTCAGCCATAAGCACTTTAACCACAAAGTCACACAATCTTCCAGTAAAATTAATCTGGTTGTAACGTCAACATTTTTATGTTCAAGTACTTCCCTTGGTTTGTTCTCATGGTTCCTTGGTTATGTCTCTCAGATCCCTACTACGCACCAAAGTCTGTCTTTGTACAGCAGACTTGCCTTCAGAGACACCATGGTGGCCACAAGTGTAGAACAGACTGGCTACATTATTAAGCTGGATTCAGTGCCACATTTTCACAACATGCAAAAATCTGGTTTTTAATCGTCTCTTCTTAAATTAAGACCAACATTTATTCATCACTCATATGAACACACTAGCTAGGGTGAAAGAAACATAGAAGACAATTTTGTAAAACACTGTGCCATCAAGGTGGAAAGGGTCTCTGCAAGAACTGGGAGTAACTGACTACATGTTGGCCAGATGAAACTGGAGGGTCCTTACACTGACCTGCAATCAGACCCAGATGCGTTGTGTGGCTGGACAGCTAAGAGGAAAGCCACTCTTCCATTTATACCATCTGCTTTACAATATTATTAGTTTAATTCATTTTACTTGGTACTGTTTATTAACTCTGTATATTTCTGCAATTACAGGATCATCTCTAGTATGTTTATAAAATACAATACATGATCTGTTTTCCTTATTCAAATGCCAAAATATTTCCTGTGCTTTCATTCCATTTCACTGAAATAGGCTGATCTAAAACATATCTGCCCCAAGCCTATATTAAAGCACCTCCCAAATGTCTTCTCTTCAAAGATAATGACCTCTATTAGAGGAGAACAGAAAATAATCACAGCATAATGCTTTCTGTAATTTCCATACCATTTACCATTCCAAGGCTGAAGATGGCGTTTACCAATGAGCCTCCTTTCCTGAAGTGATCTGTCATGTGCTCCAGCCAATTTGCTTCCAAGCTGTTGACAGTCTGCCCATTCCTGGAGATCCTCATAGGGATAGTCACTGTATAATACTGGCTGCATCTTTGTGGAGTTTTTGGCTTGTTGAAGAGAGCGAAGATCTCTGCTTCTACCAAAAAGCAAAAAATGGACTAATGCAACAACCGTATCATAATTTCAGCTAAAACAATGTATAACCCACTGTTAGCCCTTGCCTGATTACAATGCGCAACCGCAAAAAATACTTTGGGATGTGGTTATCTCCTTAATACATTTCTTGAGTGTCCAACACGGTAGGGTCCCAAAATCCAGTATGATATTTTGATCGCTGTTACGGTATTTGTTACTAATAATGGATTCACTGTTGATAGTAAAACACTTAAAGACAGTAATACCTGAGTACTGATGAACAACCCCCCTATTGGAGTTATCAGTGTAAACCAAGATAGGAAAACATGCTCCACAAACTGCTTTAAGTACTGCAGCAGTCAAAAAATCACTAAAAATTAAGGCACAGAGTACCTTTTTTTTTTAACTGAATGAATTGTTAAAAGAGCTGTGATACTGAGGACAGTTCAAATACAAAACCTTACTGCAAATTTAGGAGGAACTGCATTCTGTAGATCATGGCCATTAAACTAAAGTATTAAATAACTTGGTTTTGATAATAGAATAGCATGGAACCAGCAAGTAGTAGTCTCATCTAAAGAAAATGCAGTGACCCATTAATGTAGAGACTACGCTAGCTGGTTCATTGATTTACTCTGGGTCTGAGCCAAGGCGAGACGTTAACACAACAGCAAATGAATTTTGAAGGTGGAATTGTGAAGGGATTGAGAACATTTTCTAGACTCTGCTCTGTATCTCCTCTAGTATATATCATAAGAGCAGTTAATGTAGGCTTACCATTACAAAAAAGTCATTGTTGACACCAAAGCTGAGTTTTCACAGCCCTAAAACTGGAAGCAAGTTTAAGTGCAGATACACCTTTCAAATTCTCAGAAGGGTAGAACCATCAATAAAATTACTGATAAAAGATTTTTGGACATTATTATTTTACTTATTAATGGACATGGAAATCAATGGTAAAATTTCAATTGACTTCCAAATGCCAAAAATTCTCCCAAAATAAATTAATATAAAAGGTAAAGACATTATATGGAATTCATTCATTCAATAAGCTCCCCTTGTTTCCACGTTATTATATTCTAATCTCAACAGAAAGAGATGTCAAGAGAAATGTTAAGATTGCTCTCTAACAAACGTCACTGAACAAGAAGTAGTGTGTAAATTGGAAAAGATATTAGAAGGGAGATGCTCAGAAACAGGCTGGAAGCACTTGAAGAGAGAAGGAAGCTCACGATATAACCGAACATGAAAAAGAGACTTAATGATCTCAGACACGAACCATGATTCAAATAGAGTAGAGAAGAATAAACATGAATCCTCTTGCTGTTTGCCACTTGTTTAGAAAGAAAAAAACTATGATAATCCTAACTCAGAAGAACATACACAGAAAACTTCTATGACCATTTTGATTCTGACCCCCAAAATATACTCCTGTTGGAAACTGAGATCTTTTTGGTGTATATGAAGACATGCCGTTGACAACACGCATTTAAAATGTGTGAGATTCTTTCAGTGGTTGACTTGGTTTGTCACCTTTACTGAGTGTACAGTACACCAGTCCTAACCACTGTTCAAGTCACTACTGGCAACACTTTTCACCAGCAAGCTTGACTGCTCAAGCATGGACAAAGACACTTTCAGTTTGGTTCTAGGTAGCACACTACTTTTGGACATACCACTGGAATATCTGTGCCTTGTCCACAGGCAAATAATTTCCAACACTGCTTTGAAGAGCCCTTTAATAAAAGGGAAAGTGAATGACCACTACAAAATATTCAGGGAAAAAAACAACGAAGCATAAAAATAACACTTGAATAGTATAAAACCTAAAATAAAGAACAAAATTAAGATTCCACAAATACTAAGAAATATTACATTTTTTTCTTTAGTTTTATGAAGGGAAGAAGGAGTTCAAGAGTGGTAACTTCCTATGGAATAAGTAGGCTAACTGGAAAAAAAACCCAAAACCACCTGATGCTTTCTATCTTCATGTTCCCAAGGAAGGATGGAGAACTGGTGCCAAAGACTGAAATACATTTTCCATGGGAGGAAAAGGGAGTGCTGTAATAACAAAAATTCATACAAGAGTAATAAAGAAATCATCAATGTTGTACAGGCAACAGATTTGGCGAAATCCTACTATAGGTGAACTGTCACACAAAACTGCCTCCTCAGACCTTCAGTCTTGGAAAATATTTGCATAACTCACCAATTAAAAAACCTGTATGAGAAATAAATAAAGCCAAAAGGCACTCAGTGAAAGAAAGATAAATAAGGAAACTAAAGGCATTTTTAAAATATAACCTCTTATCCGGCAAATCAGCAGCTGTAATAAAATCCTGGGGTCTTACAGACAGATAGAAGTTGGGGAGATTGGAGGTGATCAGCTTCACATTACACAGAAATATTAAGAATGTGGTTACTTATAGCAAAAGGTTTCCACCGTTCAGTACGGAGAAGAATAGCATCAAAAAGATGACTAAACTTGTTAGGTTAACTCTCTCAAAGACAGTGTATATAAAGAGAGAAAGATCTGGTCTGATTAGACTTGGAGATAACTAATTTAGAACTATAAAACTAAGAGAGGTTTTACAATGTGTAAGATCCTAGTGTAAACCAGAACAGATTTTTCAAGTAATAGCTATGCTTTGACCAAATCTGGCTGCCCCCTTGCCCAATAAAAATTGAAGAAAGTACAGTGAAAGGTTACTAGAGTGTGATCCAAATCTGATGGCAAAAAGCTAATTACACCAAAATGCAACGGAAACCAAGACAATAGTCCAAGGAGGGTACAATGCAAAGTCATTCTCAGTCCTACATACAAAATCCCCAAAGGAGTAGGATTGTTTGACTGAATCTATGTAAGACATAAAGAATAGGGATAAATTAAAGTCAAGGACAGTACCAGCTGAAAGGAATGCAGATGGAATTTCCTTACGTAGATTTGTAGCTTGTAAGGAAAGTAAGCAAAGCGGTAAGAGAAATGAGTGTACACACTGTTTTCTAGGATTTAAGCAAACATAGGAAAGAAAAATGTTTTGAGGTTTAAACTGGAAATGGGGCAAGACTATTTTTTTTTGATGACTTTTCATTTTCTAAATTACTCTGGTCTACATCCTATTTTGAACTACAATTCCTGCTACTGAAGGAACCTCCAAGCAACAAACACCTTAAGGAGGGTACTAGGAGACATCAGCCGAGACTTTTGTTTTTTGATGGCATAAAATGACATTTAAAAGTAGAAAGCACACCTGAGGAGCAATATGTCAAAGAAATGAAAGAAAGAAAACTGGTGTATGAAGAATAATCTTACAAAAAAATGAGAACTGGAAGGCAAATTATTAGGAGCACCATTACCAAGAGGACCTTTATTATGAATTAGCAAACATGAGCCATTAACAAAAATAACTGCTGCTTTCCAGTAATTACAGTTCTGGCTGTAGCACTGACCCCAGCCTGACTATAGCATACTAGGAGACTTCAGAGTCCAGATCACATATATTCCTGCTGTTCCTGCTGTGGTTTAATTTCAGCTATCTGTTCACCTGCTACAAAGGGGCTAACTGTGATAAGGCTTCGTGACTTATTCCTTCTATTGCTGCAAAACCTTGTCAACCAGATTAGCAGGGCTTTTCATTCAAATGGACAAAAAGCATACAAAGATCAAGAGCTCCCGGGGTATCGCAACAAATACAGAAAAGAACCAATTTAGCCAAACAGCAGATAAAAATACGCCCTTACACTCAGGCATACAAAGGGGCCATAACAAAGTTGCACCCGCTTATATCATCTCTTCATTTGCCGTCTGACTTAACTCAGTCGTCGTGAACTGTGTAACCATGTTGAAATCAGGTTAAGTGGCTCATTTGATGCATCTTTTCTTCACTATTACAGTGGTAAGGTCCTTCCTGCATCCCCACCCCCCAAAGGAGCTGGGAACATAATCGAGGCAATTTTAACTTGGCTTTTACGTATGAGAGGTCACTACAATACTTACTGCCAGTAAGTGGTTTTAAGCATCGTGCTGGTGTTTCATTCTCCACAAGTCCATTCGGCTTGTCTGCTGCTTCTCTTGGGTTTGCATGTTCAAACTGTTCTTCGTTTCCCTTTGCAGACTTGAGATTCAGCTCTTCAGTAGCCTGCCCTTCACCTCGCCAGCCCTCCCTGGATGTGGCACATTGGTCAGCACTTTCCTCACTCAGTGCTGGAGTACTGCACCCATTAATGCCATCTATTTTCTCGCCATCCGGTGAAGCATGATCCTCAGGGTAATTTGAAACACTTTTATTATCTCTTGATTGCACAGAGTTGTTACTGGTGGGTGTCAGGGAGGCGCTGACAAGACAGTTCTTTTGGGAATGGTACTGAAGTATAATTCCAACAAATTTCAAGCCTTGACTTGCAGCATCTTGAATCTACAAGTCAAAGAAGATTAGATTTTTAACTGTCAAGCTGTCTTAGATAAACAGAAATACAGAAAATAACACCCTTCAAGGCAGCTAGCATGTCATTTTGCTTCTTTTGTCCACTACCACAAGAAATTGCCATGTTACATTTACATTAAAAGTTTCATTCTAGAGAAGCAGGATCAAAAGTTTCCTAAATCGTCCAAAATAATGTGAAAGTGGAGGAAAAAAAGAAAAAAAAGAAAAAAAAAAGAGAAAGAGAGAGAAAATGCCTACGTATTTCTTCACAAGGGATAAAGCATCTGTTTGGAAAGTTTATTTATGCTAAATTACCAGAAGTGGTATTACTCACACAGAGTTTTAGTATCAACCTTATGAAGTCAGGGACTTAATATTACATCTTCTGCTGTATTAGGTGTGTGGTTATGACATTTATGCGAGGAAAAGGTTACTAATTCTCCCTGTTATATGCACCATTGGAATGACAGTTGTTGTTTGTCCCATTTTGGATGCAGACACAAATGGCAAACTTTCACATAATGAGTGCGTAAAAGCAAAACTATTTTAGTACATCACTTCTGGGAAGATACAGAACTCTGAAGAGAAAAAGGCATTGTAAGATGAGCTAAGAAGAAAAATGGAAACTAAGAGGTGCTGTTATTAATCCTGTACGCTTTAGGTAAAGGAGGAAAATGAAGGAATCAAATCACAAAAGATCCTAAGAAAAAAGCTTTGGGCTAGTAGTAATGACAATTAGATAAAGCTGGAATTAACTAAGGAAGGTTTGAGACAAAGCAGAAAGAGAAATATCTTTTAGGCAGACTGAGCACTACAGATGCACCATCCATTCCAGTCGCCAGCCTCACACTCCTCGAACCCAGGAGAAGCTGCAGCAAGAGCCAGACTTCTGTGACAACATGAATGTCTCCTGATGCATTTATCAAAATCACCCACCGAAAAGGAAAGGTTTCCATGTAATGTATACTCTTCATATAACATAAACACGTGTAAATATTTCAAAAAGAAATGCCTTGAGAATGAAGAAATAATTTCACTTTCTCTGCATACCATGTAATTCCAGAGAGTTAAAGTGTCCTAATTACTCTCCGAGGCTCAATTTAGTATGAACTTATGTGAAACATTTCAGGCTTTTTTTTCCAATAGCAAGTAAATAAGTAGTTTGTACAACTTTTCTTTCTTTCTTTTTTTTTTTTTTTTTAATTTAAGAGGAAGCTCATTTCTGCATCTTCCCTACCCAGAATTTTTTTTTTTTAAATGAATCATCTACTTCCTGGTAACTTGTTACTGTTCTGAACACACAAACCTACAGATGATACCTCATCAACAACAAGAACTTCCTCTTTCAAACCACTATTATATTTTCCATCTTAAATCAACTCTGGATTTTGTAATCACAGGAACTTAAAAGGAGCTCTCCAGGAAACGAGGGAACGGTTTTCACAGGTGTTTAGCCTGGCGAACATGGGATGCTGACTTAACTAAAGCACATTGCTAAAAAGGACAATAACCTCCAAATAAAAATACTACTAGCAGTATCCTGATGTTGTGGTTTAAGCCGGCAGGCAGCTAAATGCCACACAGCTGTTCATTCACCCTCCCCCCACCCCAGTGGGGTGGGCGAGAGAATCAGGGAAAAAAAAAAAGTAAAATTCGTGGGTGGAGATAAAGGCAGTTTAATAGGACAGAAAAGGAAGGGAAAATAAATAATAACACAAAACAAGCGACGCACAATGCAATTGCTCACCACCCGCCGACCTATGCCCAGCCAGTCCCTGAGCAGTGATCGCTGCTCCCCAGCCCACTCCCCCCAGTTTACATATACTGAGCATGACATCATATGGTATGGAATAGCGCTTTGGCCAGTTTGGGTCAGCTGTCCTGGCTGTGCCCTCTCCCAGCTTCTCACTGGTAGAGCATGAGAAGCTGAAAAGTCCTTGACTAGTGTAAGCACTACTTAGCAACAACTAAAACATCAGTGTGTTATCAGCCTTATTCTCAAACTAAATCCAAAACACAGCACTGTGCCAGCTACCAGGAAGAAAATTAACTCTATCCCAGCCAAAGCCAGGAGACCTAATCAAATGAATATCTGTCTACAAAGAAAGTTAGCATGTAACTAGCTTGCTCAGAAAGGTTTAAGTGAATGTCAATGATAGATGTGTTCATAATATGCTTAATGGTCCTGACTCCCTGTTGCAACTTTACAAATACTTTCTTATACAGTCAATGACAGAGTTACAAACTCAGTTCCTCTCTTATCACTAATCTACAGACACACCACTACATTTGTTTAGTAGGTTGCAGGGCAGCTAATTATAGAAATTTACCTAGTATGTAACCGTTAAGAGTCTGAGGATAGCACATATGTAGTAATTTTTTTGGTCCTGGTCAATAAAGACTGCTTGGCAATCTATACCAGACTCTCCCACGCTGTGATTTGGATGAGAACAGCTTTCACAGCTATCATAGCAATGTTTTACAGTCTTGGCTCACTCAGAAAAAACGTGTTTGTTCTAAGGAATACCTGATGCTGAGGTTTTTCTTCTGAGGCTCTTGTTCTCAGAATGGAAATAGGAGGAACTAAGGACTGAATACATTCTAAGCCGTATTAGCCTCACAGTTTAGCAGAAAGATTGGAAAAGGAGACTGTATCTTCAAGGCCCCTTCCCAACAAGTTAATTGGTACTATACAGAATACAAAATCTTATTTAAACCTTTATTTCAAATTTTCCCAATTACATAAGGGAGAACCAAGTATTGCATTATTTTCAATAAAACCAATTTAGCAGGAAATGTTACATCAGCAGTGCAATGTAAGCTGCAGAACAGCAAAGTGATGTACCGGCAGATGCAAAAACCATGAAGAAGCTAGCTCTCATCATAACTAAAGTACAAAGCCTGAACATTTTCAAACTACAAACAAAGACAATTTGATTTTTTCAGCATCCTGTTGACAGCTTCAATAGTACAAATTTTAGTTGCCTTCACATCCAGAATTAATTATGCCATCCAGTATACATTCGCACTTCCTCTTTCCTGTATTTGAAATATTGAATATTTGAATTATAAAAAACAAAACCCCAGACTTAAGCAAGCCCAAACCTCAGTACCTGGGCAGATCATGCCCCGGAGTTACACAGGGCAGGAGGGCTGTTTCTACCAGCCACCTGCGGTTTTTGGACCCTTTGAGGCATCCTGCACTGGAACACACAGACAGGTATGTCTGTTCCAGCCTTCTGCAAAGTATCTCAGCAGATGCAGTGTTGGGAATCAGTAAGAGGGCAATGCATGGGAGAAAGCAGGGGTAAAGCTGAACCTGATGGGGAGAACATGATGCTACTCTGACAGGGTCACCCAGAACATATTCCAGATCAGATAAATACTACAATTACTTGCCTTTATGTGCCAGTTTACAGTTCTAACAAAGGTCCTTGTCATACTACTTTGTATGACTAAATGAAAGGAAAAAGCATAAAAAGCAGAACAACTGCATCTCCACCACTTACCACATCAGACTTACATTAGGTGATCATACTAATTTCAATTGTCTTACTGACCCTTTTTGTATTTTAAATATGCTACATACTTGCTCTTTACATCTTGAGAAATTTTTAAAAGGGAAATTCCAACAAAATTTAAAATAAAATTTAAAAATATTCTTTGGTTCTTTCCCCAGATAGGAACAGAAACATTTTTATTGCTTCATAAAGTGCTGCTTGGATGATATTAACCACAAGTACAAGAACAGGTCTCCATCACAAATCATGTTATTGTTCAACAACAGAAGCAGAACTTAACTCATTTATTTCAATCTGGATAAACCCCCAAGTGGGTACATCCAAATTCGTTTATAACTGGCTTGCAACAAATTGGATTTACGCCAGTTTAAAAACAGAACCTGCTTAAAGGAGGAGTGAAATTCCATGTGTACAGAGGGCCAAGGCAGTTACAGAATTTAAAGTCATCCCTATCATTTGCTTGATTAGAAACCTGGCATTTTCCCTGATGGGAAAAAATGACAGATTTAGCCTTTGCTATCTGTGAAATATCAAATCTCCCACTAGCTCTAGCAGGAATAGGAACAAGCACCGTGTCCAACCCTGATGTCACTACCTTAACTGAATTTTAGCTGGAGCACTTGTATTAACATTTCTTAACATTTGTGAAGTGTCATTGTTTATTTCAGAACCGACTGACCGCTATTTTTATACTGCATTTGGAAAAAAGGAACCATCAGCAGCACAAAGCAATGTCACTAAACGTCATGTTGATGTAGCAAATTTATGTTCCATCCTTTCAAATATTTCTGGTTCTCCTGAAGGCTCCCTACCTAATTAGAAAATGGCTGACAGTCTAATTTAAAGGTCTGTAAATCCACACCTGGAAACAGTATGGCTGAATGATGAAATCCTCTTTTCTGAAAACTACTTGTTTTTAAACTATAGGCCTCACAGCCATGAAAGAAGCGCAGAGATTCCAGGTTGAAAGCCCATTTTGAACAGCCACATACAGATTTTCTTTTCATATCTACTTAGAATAAAGACACTTGACAAGTTCATTGTACAGTCCACATATTGTTTGTGATTCTGCATTTCTTGCTGCATTATCAGCTCTGTAATAATCTCCTATTCATAGCGAGCACGATGGTATTACTTATAAATACAGAAGCTCAAGGATATAGAACGCATGCCGAACAGAATCATATACTTTTGTCAGCTTCGGTAATTGCTTACAGGGAGATTCTGTACATTTCTCCCATGGGATGGCACACAGCAAATGAAACACTTCCCGCAAGCTCAGGACAGTATTCCACCCACATCAATAAACATGGCAAATAATACCCAGCAATTTAGTAATGAGGCTGTCTTTCTTGGATAAGGATTTTCGAAAAATGATTTAATAAGACAAATGTTAGGAATTTCTTTTAACTCTCGTATGCCAGGAGCTGGACATTTTTGGGATGCATCCAGAGGAGAAACAGTTTTACT